ATTATCATTATTAACAAAAATAGCAATAATTATTTTAATTAATATAAGAAAAAGAATGAAACTGAATTACAAAGTAATCATGGGCCAAATGGTGATTTTCTCAGTGACCCAGATAAACAAAAGTAGCTGCCATATTGTGAAGGATAAGAACAATAAAAGGGGGAATGGGGGAAAAATACATGAAAGAGAGGAGAGGAAAATAGAGACGGAAGAGAGAAAGGGGAGGTGTTCTTATATACTGTCATTGCCAAAAACAAGTTTGAAAGCTTTAACACAAGGTGAAATCCAATTGCTTGTTAGTCTTGACTCTACTAGAATAATAAAAACATATTTTTAAAAAAGACCCACCAGCCTTTTTGGCACTCATTTTCCCCAAAACCTCCCAAAATAATCACATGTAAGAGCCAAATAAATATCACATCTCAACCTCTCCTTGGCCCAGAGGATGCCAAATTGGTGTTTTATTACCCAAAGTTGTTTTTGAAATGGGCACTTTTAAATTCAGACCCTCATCTTCCTTATTCTAGAAGAGGGAACAGGCAATGTGGATTTTTCATTAAAAGAACTCTTTATTGTGTAAATACCATGTGCTACATGCTTTACCCAAAGAACCTCTCTTTTAATAACCTTGAGTGGGCTTATGGGTGAGGAAATAAGGTTCAGGAAGGTAAATAATTTGCTCCAGGTTCTTGCAGACAGCACATGACAGAGACACTGAAACCAGGTCAGTCTGAACACAAGGATTTCCCTCTTTCCACTATGCTTAATGTAAAGACTCATTGCCAAAACTGATACAGAAAGGGAACTAAATGAAATAGTTAATACCTTTAAAAAGCTTTCTCAGCATTGTGTTAGAAGCTTTCTCTACAATAACCCCATGGAACAGGTGTTGTCATTATTTCCATCTACAATCCAGAAAGCTCAGAGGGGTTCCTTGTTTTACCTTAATACACAAGTGGAAATAGAGAAGGGAGAAATATTGAGTAAATTAGAGAGAGAAAGACAGATGCAAGCTGTAAGTGGGCCAGAGGAAAGGGCAACCACCTTTGCTAGAGAAACCTGTTACCCAGGGTCCACAGGCTTTGCTCTCTGAAAGAGAGGGAAATGGGAAGGGAGGTCTCTGAAGGTGCTCACAAGTATGCAGTGGGTGCGGGAAGGAGATGATTAATTTATACTAATGAAAATAGAATGAGTCATGAGTGTCATGGCCAATAAAAATGGAAGGGATGACTAGACAGCCAATAAATCATTTCCAGGATTAAACTTTCTGCTTCCTCAAGGTTTGAGATTGTCAAAGGCAAGGATAGAAGCCCCCAAGCATGTTCTGATAAGTTAACAAGAAACCCTCCACTTTGTGAACCGAAAAGTATCTGAGACAGATCTCAATCAATTTGGAAAGTTTATTTTGCAGGGTTTAGGATGCACCCAGGACACAGCCTCAAGAGGTCCTGATGACAAGTGCTCAAGGTGATAGGGGCACACCTTGCTTTTATGCATTTTAGGGAGACATGAGACATCAATCAATACATGTAAGGTTAATACTGATTTGATGTGGAAGGGTAGAACAACTCAAAGCAGGGGCTTCCAGGTCATAGGTAGATTTAAAATTTTTCTGATTGGCAATTGGTTGAAAGAGTTATATTATCTATAGAAAAGAATGTCTGGGTTAAGGAGTTGTGGAGACCAAGGTTTTATTATGCAGATGAAGTCTCCACTTAGCAGGCTTCAGAGAGAACAGATTGTAAACATTTCTTATCAGATTTAAGGTCTATGTTGATGTTTGCTTGTTGGCTTTTCCTGAATTCCAAAAGAGAGGACTGACCCTCACCCTTCCCATCATTGCCTGAACTAGTTTTTCAGGTTAACTTTGAAATGCCCTTAGCTAAGAGAAGGGGTCCATTCAGATGGCAGGGGGCTTAGAATTTTGTTTTTGGTTTACAACTTTTAAATTCAAAAAAACTCATTAGGCCTTTAAAACACTTCTAATTTCTCACTCAGAACCACATACTACCTTCATGTATATTCTGTAAGGCAGTGTTGTCCAAAGTTACCTGATCATACAACTACCTGGGCACTTGTTAACATACAGATTCCCACATCTCCCATGGAGATTCTCATTCATTAGGCTGAAAACTAGAAGACCCGGGGATATGTGTTTTGAACAAATCATTCAGGTAAATTCTTATAATCCAGCTAATTTGGAAAAAAAAATCTTTAATAGGATTCTCACAAGAAATTTGCAAGATAGACATCACAATCCCTATGCTATAGACAAAAAGAGTGATACTCAAAGAAGGAAAAAGACTTGCCCAAGGTCACACAACTAGTGTGGCAGAATCAAAGCTGGTAAGTTATATTGTGAGTCCACCATGTGTATGCAGGCCACCACACTTAACTCTATCTGAACCATAGCTAGCTTCAAAAAGCCCACTCCTTGGTGCCTGAATATGGTATCAGATACCAGCAAATGGGACACAGAATACCCAGGGCCATCAGAAAGAATCAGGGAGGCAAAGTGCTGAACATAACATCAAAGAAAAAGAGAAGGAAAGTCAGGTTTTCCTCCATCTCTAGTTCCAGCTTTGAGTCCTCTAGGTTTGCAGGCCACTGGGGTATTGCCCATACACATGACAACTAGCACTGTTTGACTAACAAGACCATTTGGCTAAAACGATTGAAATATTTCTTTCATAGCTGTACAATGATAGAAAAACAACCTAGAGAAATATTCTTTCAGAAATAACTTTGAACAATTAACATCACACCGAAAGGGGAATGCTCAAGATGACATCTTCACCTACACACTGCACTCCCCACTGGTGATAACTGTAACAGTGACTAATTACACCTTCCAGGGTATAGGGAGACAACTCCTCCAGGGGCCTCTTGCCAGAGATGGCATGTAGCTCAGGTTTGCAGAGGCCATTTTTACATGCACATGGATTCTCTGCCCCAGGACCTTTGACTAACGATTGTTTCACTGCAAGGAGGTTGGGAGAAGCTGACATTAAGAATGACATGCTTGTGAAATGTTCTCTGTTATCTCCCTGCTGGAAGCCCCTGCTACTTAATTATCACACCCTATCAACTCACTACAAAAGAGAATGAGATAGGAGAAATGGTACTATTTCTGGCTTCCCTTGAGTTCAAACAAGAAGGAAAGGGGGTAGATTTGGCCCCTCACTGAATGAGCTGATTTTAAGTTGCAACACCTGCCTCCTTAATGTCTCGCGATTTACCTTTCCTCTGGGAAATGATTCCCTTCCTCACAGGTTTGTTCAATCCACATTCTAAATCTTATTCAAGATGAGAAGACCTGCCCTGACCTTATGCATCTCCTTAAATCTGAGGTCATCGCGACAAGGGGCTTGTCATACTTAGAGATTTCATGTCCAACTTGTCTATATATCTCCACACATACATTCACTCCATTAATTATAGTAGCCACAATTTCATACTCAATGAGTATTTTATGCAAGTTTCTGTTATGTAGCATATGCTCTATTTTTAACGTTCATAATTTACTGAAAAATAGTTGTTGACTTCAACATACATAGTATGGAATGAGTTACATTTACATAAAAAGCAAAGAAATACATAACACACCCATCCAGTTAAATCAGCTCCCTTGAAAAAAGTATCTCCTGGTTAATATTGGAGGCCAAAATACATGTACACATGCACATACACATACACACACACACACACACACACACACATGCACGCACACACACGAGTTATACATCTCACAATGACATTCCAGTCAATAACAGACTGCATATATGACAGTGGTCCCATAAGATATTAATGGAGCTGAAAAATACCTATCACCTAGTGACATCCTGACAATCCTGACCCTGTGTAGGCCTTGGATAATGTGTGTGTTTGTATCTAAGTTTTTAACAAAAAAGTTTAAAAAGTGAAAAAAAAATTAATAGAAAAAAGCTTATTGAAGGATATAAAGAAAATATTTTTGTATTTCTTTATATAAGAATATTTCTTATATAAAAATATTTTCTTTATGTAAGAATATAAAGAAAATTTTGTGTTTGTGTTTTAAGTGTTACTACAAGAGTCAAAAAGTTTAAAAGATTATAAAGTAAAAAAATGCTATAGTAAGCAAAAGATAATTACCCAATAAAATAAATTTATTTGGTAATTGTCTTTTGCTTACCATACCTACACGTACAGTGTTTATAAAGTCTATAGAAGTGTACAATATTATCCTCGGCCACTACATTCAATCACCACTCACTCACTGACTCACCCAGAGCAACTTCTAGTCTTGCAAGCTTCATTCATTGTAAGTGCCCCATATACTTATACTATTTTTTTTAATCTTTTACATTGTATTTTTATTATATCTCTCCTGTTTAGATACACAAATAAGTATCATTGTGCACAATGGCCTACAGTATTCAGTATAGTACCATGTTGTGCAGGTTTTTAGCTGAGCATACCATATAGTCTAGATGTGTAGTAGAATACACAATCTAGGTTTGTGAAAGTACGATGTTTGCAATAATAATGAAATCGCCTAACAACACATTTCTCCGAAGGTATCCGTGTCATTAAGAAATGCATGACTCTGTGCGTGTGTGTGTGTGTGTGTGTGTGTGAGAGAGAGATAGAGAGAGAGTGTGTGTGTGTGTGTGTGTGTGTGTGTGTGTGTGTGTGGTGTATTTTTTTCTTTTATTCATCATGTAAAAAGCACCTTTGGAAAAACCCACATTTCAGACTGGATTTTTCGCATCTCCTTCAAATGTGACCAATTTTAATGAACGGTCTTCACCTTGGATACTCACATTCCAGGGCTCTTAGGAACAACAATGTTTGAGCATGTGCGGTAGAGGTGGAAGATAGATTCAAGATGTTTCAAGTATGCAAAATCACATGCAGATGTACCAACAGTATACCCAGTCAAAGACAGTTAAAAAAGCAATATATACACATCCAAGAATGGAAGAACGCAAATACAATCCAACTTGTAATTAACATACCGTGCTGTGACACCTGTTGCCTTCCATGATAAGAAGTCTGGGAGATCAAAGAAATGTCCCGCCTTATCCCAGCAAGTCTCTCTCAAGTTCTGCCAAATTAAATATATATTAGAATCAATTATGGGGTTTTTGTACCCCTCTCCTCTTTCAATAATGTTTCAAATTTTTCAAAACAAAAGCATAGCCAACAATTCCCATTAAAACATCTGTTCAGGAGTTTGGTGGGGGGAGGAATGATATAAAAGCAGTATTTATACAAGAAAGGAAAGCTGACAATTCTTGATCCTTCCAAAAATGACCATAATTTCCCTTAAAACCCACTTCACCAACCTGGAGAGATAGAAATTCTGTTTTAATACATTTTCACACTGCTGATAAAGACACACCCAAGACTGGGTAATTTAAAAAGAAAAAGAGGTTTAATTGATTCATAGTTCCACGTGGCCAGGAAGGCCTCACAATCATGGCAGCAGACAAGAGAGAGAAATGGGAGCCAAGCGAAAGGGGAAAGCTCTTATAAAACCATCAGATCTCATGAGACTTATTCACTACCACGAGAACAGTGTGGGGGAAACCACCCACATGATTCAATTATCTCTCACCGGGTCCTTCCCACAACATGAGGGAACTACAATTCAAGATGAAATTTGGGTGGGGACACAGCCAAGACATATTGAAAGTATACACTGTAAGGTATGCAATCCATCTTGCCAGTGAATGGTGAGATGATACACTTTAAGACATATAACAAGATTTCAACACTGAGGAGATATAAGCTGGAAAGATGCTATACTCAGAAATTGCCCAATGAAACTAAATCCGCCCTGCCATATAAAATTCTCCATATGCCAACTGTTTCCAAAGTCAATGGAAAAAAAGATGGTCTCTACCCTCAAAGAACTTCCAGTCTAAGTCAAAGAGAATGGCCACATAATCAAGCCACTGTACATTTTAAAGACTTGGTTCTCTATATTGCCAAATGGCCAGATTTTGTTCTTACTGCTGGGCATTTTCTTTCCTTTGCTGCTTCTGCATAAAACATTCATCCCTCACCCACCACCCTGTGCCCTTCCAGGATCCACATCATCTGCCTTCCACATTTGGTGAACCCTGCCCACCACCATTCCTTGGGGAGGGTTTCCAGGATCTCCTGCTCAAGTTTAGGTCTAGTTGTCATACAACCCCTAGCACCCCCACAATTATTTGTGTAATGTTGATTAGGTTTGGCTGTGGCCCCACTCAAATCTCATCTTAAATTGTAGTTCCCATAATCCCCATGTGTCAGAGGAGATACCCTATAGGAAGAATTCAATTATGGGGGTGGTTTCCTCCATGCTGTTCTCATGATAGTGAGTAAGTTCTCACAAGATCTGAGGCTTTTATAAGGGGCTTCCCCTGCCTTCACTCTGCACTTCTCTCTCCTGCCACCCAAATGAAGAAGGGTGCGTTTGCTTCTCCTTCTGCCATGATTGTTAAGTTTTCTGAGGCCTCCCCAGCCTTGCTGAACTGTGAGTCAATTAAATATCTTTCCTTTATAAATTACCCAGTCTCTGGTATGTTTTTATTAGCAGCATGAGATCAGACTAATACAAATGTCATTCTTTCTTGACAGACTGACTATAAGCTCTGTGAGGTCAAGGATCTTATCAGTCATGTTCACCATGATACTGGATGATTGTCACCCCTCCTCCACCCCAACTGAGAGGACCCTCAGCTGCCAAGTAGGAACTACGTAAGTCTCATCCCCTTACTACAAGCACTTGGTTGGACCAGGTTTAGACATGTGACCTAGATGTGCCAACCAGACTTCTTCTCCCAAGAACTCTAAGTTCAGGACAAATATGGAACCCTTTCACTTCTGCCTGTGAATGGAACTGGAGGTAAGATAAACTTGGAAAGCATGAAATGGCCATTTTCTGCCAAGCAACTGAAGAGGTAGAATGTCAAAAACAGAATAGTAAAGAAGACAGAAGCACTAGCAAGAAAGGTTTCCTATCATCCAGACAAATTTCCATGTCCTGGTTTCTATTACTCCCTCTCCAAAAAGCTATAAGTAAAAGGAATTATAAGCATAGGAGTATCTCTGGGAACCTAACGGCAACAATGCAGAAGTTCCAAAAGAGGCATATTTCAGTAACTGCTGCAGGGTGACACAAAGTAGGCACTCAATAAATATTTGTTGAATTACTAGACAAACTGCTCAGCTTCACCTTCCAATTCCTCTTATGTGAAGAGTGCTTCAGTTTATAAAGGGCTTCCATGTGTATTATCTCCTTAGAGCAACACAAAAGTTCTGGCTGTTATTATATCTATTTTGTAAACAACTGGCCTTTATCGGAATTCTGTGAGCTCTTCCTACATAGTGCTTCCCTAACTCTACTATATAAACACCAACATCTATTTACAGCAGATAAACAGTACTATCCTAAGTGCTGGCCCTACCAAAACAATATCAAGAGTTCAGATGTAAAAGGCAAAGTATCATGCTAATTCTCTGTTACTGTTGTTTTAACTTTCTAAACATCTAGGTGAAAGCTTGTATCTAGAAAATGACCTGTTCTAAACTTTTCTTTGAATGCCCATACTAAGATGTTAATGTTAAACAAAGCAAAACTTAAAGATACTAAATATTCCTAACACAGCTATGAACTAGTAGTATCTCTAAGTATCTCTATATACTAGCTAACAAGCCACAATCAGAAAATGGTAGCCTTTGAAACTCTGTGATTCAAACTACCAGAATGCCTTTTGGATAGTCCCTGAAATCTATTTCCATATGTCTTGTGGTTTCAGCAATCAGTAGCCAGGGAGAGGAGAAAAACCAGCCTCTTTCTAAAGGTTCCAGAAATCAAAGGCCAATGACCAGATATGAAACGCCAGATCACCGCAGCAACAACCAGTGCTTCAAGTGGAAGCACAACAATCTTCTTAAACTCAGGGAAAAATAACTACTTCTTTTAGATCTTGTGTGTGGTCATTAAAGACATTACATAACAACAGTTTTTAGCCTGTAGCCACACAGACAGCCACTGTGGGACAAGGGAATCCAAGCAGAATGTCACAAAGAACTTCAAGCCTTTTGCCAAAAAGAGACACTGAGAATAGGAGGAGAAAGGAGTCCAGGCATTCTTTCTTTCTGAGACCATACCAACATTCACCGATCAAAGCCAGATTCCAGCCCAGCTCCTCTCTAAGGAGATAACACATGTGGAAGCCCTCTATAAGCTCTGAAGCACTCTTCACATTAGAAGAATCTGAAGGTGAAGCTGAACTGTCTAGTAATTCAACAAATATTTATAGAAATAACATGTTGTGGGAAGTATGAGGTACTCTTAAGGATGCACATGGTCTCGAGGAGAAGCTAGCAGTATACACTGCTTTCTCTATAAAAGGGAAGTCTGGAGATATGCCAGCAAAGAGAAGTAAAGTAAGGGTTTGGATGACAGGAAATGTTTCCAGAAGCCTGGTGGCGTGATCTCGGCTCACTGCAGCCTCTACCTCCTGGGTTCAAGTGATTCTCCTGCCTCAGCCTCCCAAGTAGCTGGGACTATAGGCATGCGCCACCATACCCAGCTAATTTTTTTGTATTTTTAGTAAAGGTGGGAGTTTCACTATGTTGGTCAGGCTGGTCTCAAACTCCTGACCTCGTGATCCGCCCACCTTGGCCTCCCAAAGTGCTGGGATTACAGGCTGAGCCACCACACCCAGCCCCATGCAGATTTTTATATTAGGCTACCTTATTCACAAGTGCTTTGTCATCAAATGCCATATTGGCCAAGAGCACATTACCCCCACAGATGAATTTTTAGTCTACTTCTGCAGGAAAATCTCTCTGTCCCTCCTTCTCTCCAGTCCACACAATCCCATCCAAAGGCCTCAATCTTAGTGAATTAATTCTATACTTGTAACCACTGGGCCTACATTAGGACATAGTGATTATCCTCTAAATCCTCCACAGATTACAACAGTGTCCTCATTTAATCTTCAGATGGTTCACAGGTGTGTTGGTAATATACAATACTCGCATACTAAGGAACTAGGGGTCAGACCACAAGGACTTAGCCCAAAGTCACAGGGCTTCCCTCTCTAAAGTAAGTGATCTTTCCTTCTGCGATGCCACAGTTACCACCTTGAACCTCCCAGTCCAATCAGAGGTGTGGGTTTGGACCTTTTGGAAATGTCATAATGGAAGTTATTGCCACTCTTCACAGAAGAAAAGACAAACAAAAGCCCTTCTAAGCACATTTCTGTACAATTTCAATCCCGGACAACAAGCATAACTTCTACATACTTATCATCTCCCATGCAACTTTCATCTCCAACTTTCTATGGATTAGAGAGTGCAAGGAGCAGGCCTTCAACACACACCAATTTCACAAGTATCTCATTAGGTGATGGTCTAATAGAGTGCAAACTAGGAGCTCTCTGGGCTGAATGAGTCAAGCCTTTCTATCCTCCAGTTACCAAGCAACTAACAAAAACTAGTCTTTTCAAGAAAAAAGAAATCCGCAGTGATTTGGGGTATATGACTTGGCACAAAAGACTTCTGCATTCCAACAACAATCCTTTGAGCTAAGCAATCCCTCAGCTTAAAGCAACCAAAGAGAACAGCTTTTGTAAAAAAAGAAAAAATCATCTATTACTTCATCAAACCACAGCATTTCTTGGGAGGAGGCTACTACTCACAGCTCACACAGCTGCGGGTCTAAGCAAAGGGTGGAGGTAGGGCAGTACGTCCAAGATTCGAGGCTGCAGCCGCCCTGCCAGCCTCAGGACAGAGAGGAGTAGCTTTTACCCTTTCTCTCCCACTCAAGGGAAGCTGTGAAGTTTCTGCTGCTTCTAGACACCGAGGGAACTCGTGAGGGAAATGAGGCAGCTTCTGCCATGACACTAGGGTCGAGGGGCAACATGAGAAGATAGGCATGACCAGTTAAAAAGGATTATCCAAGTAATTTGCTATTTAATTGCTAAGGGATTCCATCTGGGCTATCTGCTGTGAGCAGTAAATAAAAGGGAGGGAACAGAGCTCCCTAATTCCCCACCCAATAAATAGTCCTGCCTGCACATTCCAAGTACTCATGCTGTTGTT